TTGGTTTTATGAAAGATGTTCTAGGGTTCTTAGACATCTTTGTAGCAAAGTTAGGGCTTCTCATCTTAAAATCTGTGCCAGAGTATTAGCCCTGACAATGGTCATCAGGAACATTTTGATATCCCATTGCTGCCACACCAGTCCCCCATGAGCTATTATGGCTTGTGATCACAGCAGGAAGCTGGGAAGAAACAAATAAATAATCTTCTGTGTTGATGAGTTGTATCAGGTCCTGGAAAAGTCTATTAAGGTCATGGTAGCAGGCTGGGAGCTGTGGGGGACAAAGGAAGAGCAAAGTGTCTCACTTCAGGTGGGAGGAAACTCAAAATTAGCCCATGTGATGATGGAACTGTAACCCCAGACTGGTGGGAGGTGTTTTTGCTTTGACAAAAATGTTGTGCAATATTAGATTACATAAATTGCATTATTAGACTGGCTCCTTCCTCCCTCTCACCTCACTGTATGTTTTTGGTGGGGCCAGTATTCCTACAGGATTCCTGATAGGAGTAATGTGCCTCTAGTATATTCTGAGTTGACACTCCTTGATTTCTCAGCTCAAAGACCTGCTTTTCATGGTACACCTGTATTGCAGAAAGCAATTTCTCTTCAGTGCCTACCTTTAAGGGATTTTGGTAGGTGTGTATAACACACATCCCAAGCCCCACTATGCTGGGAGTGCCTCAGTTTGTGCTGGGATCCAGTGTCCTTGGCTGGGTCAGGTTGTCCTTGGATGCCAGGTGGATTCTTTAACAGTACAACCCCCACAGAGCATTTCTGCACCACAGGCCAGATCCTTCCAAAGTGAGGGAGCCTTTTCCTTGGCCATCCTCCCTCCCTCTCTGCACACTCTGAGCCTGCCCATGAAGCTGCTGCTGCTGAAGAAGCCAGATTTCTGTAATTAATGGGTTGTTCTTTCTTGCAGGGCGAAGACAGCACTCCAGCAGTACCTTGCATGATCAAAGACTAATTGAATCTATGGACACCCCTCATGTCTACTTAAGGAATAGCAGGAGATACTCCTGACTCCTTATATTTGCACAAGTCACCTTGGGCTGCATTTTTCTCAGGTGCAGGGAGCTGCTTTGCAGAAACAGTTCGAATGATCAGGTCTCCAGTGCACTTGAGAATTTTCTTGAGGTAGTTTCTTTACTCAGAGGACTCGGGGTGGGGGGTTGTTTTGGTTTTTTGGGTTTTTTTTCCTGAGCTACCTGGACTCTCAGATAGAACAATCAGTCATCGTTTTCCTTTTGGGCCTCCAATTCTCTGCTTTTGCTGCAGCCTTGTGTGGGTGCGTGGGCGCTTGAGTGCGTGTGTGTGCTGGGCTGAGTGTGTGGGTGTGAGACCTCACTTTTGGTTTTCCTTTTTTTTTGTGTGAAAATCTTTTTCTACAGGTTTTCAAGGGTTAACCATTGTTTGCTGTACGAATACTTCAATGAATTATATACCGTTTGAATGAAATGTTATTTAAAAAAAAAACCAAACTGTTGTATCCCATAAAGTTTATTTTGAATTTTGAAGAGATGAATGTTTTTAAGTAAAATATATGCATTTCTGAACTTCAGCTTAACTTACATTATACTTCGTTTTTAAAGAGAAAAATAGAGGGAGACAATAGACTCCAAATTCCAAGCAGCACATTCTGTACTGACAAGGTCCAGGAGTTCTCTGCCACAATACAAGGTCACCTGGTATCGATGACATGCTCAAATCCATGGAATGGGCCAGCTGGATTGGGTTTGGGTTTCTTTACATTTTTAGAAAACAAGCTCGTACTTCAGGTTAGCATGACTGATGCTTTTCAGAAAGAAGCAGGTGGCTGCAAGATCAGCAGGACTAAGCTCTTGCTTTGTCAGCCAGGAACTTGCTCAGCTAATTGCTGAAGGATTGGCTTATTCATGGTCAGAAGGATTTGCTGATCACTGATATCAGTGGAGCAAACAGTGTGTTGCAGAAGTTATACCTTCCAGAAGGGCTGGCAAGCAGGATTAAGGGATTGCTTTTGTTTTGCATCCTTTATCTTCACAAATACTTAAAGTGACTTCCAAATTATTTCCACAAATGATCAACTGGGTGCATTAAGTTGGGGAAGGGATGGAAAAACTGGGGGTTCTGTCTTGTTTTATACTCAGTAACATTGCTCCAGATTTTCTGTATATATGCAGCTATACACACATGCATGGATTTAGATTGCTGGATAATTGGTGGGGTGTGACTGCATCCAGAAGCCTGCACTGTCCAGATGTTCCTGAAATGGTGCCTGCAAGGGCAGGGGGAAACATGAGTGCAAGTGAAGGGGACTGTGTGAGGTCAGGCTGGAATGGCAGAGCCCAGTGGCTTCCCAGTCTCCTCAGGCAGTTCAGGGTTCTGACTGTCTGCCCAGGCCTGCTTTCTGGTTTCAGTTTAGACCATAGTCCATAGTCAGACTCTCCAGACACTGTATTTACGTAGCACTAACAGGCACTAGAGTTTGCAGACAATGTCTTAAACCAAATCCTTCTTCTCTTACACTGAGCTTCAGGAAGGCTGCAGCAAGAAGAGAAGTCTGTAACTTTGCTAACCAATTTTGATAATTATCTAAATCTTTTCTTTCTAATCAGAAGGTCAAATTGTGATGACAGCCTTACTTTTTTTCCAAGGTAACTCTTTGTGTCAGAAAATGTGACCACAGTTTGGCCTGGAATTTGAATGTGCTGTATATCAGATAACTGTTATCACTTGGTTGCAAAGGAGAATATCTGCATTTCATGTAACTTCTTCCACTCTCAAAGACAAATAAAAGTGAGCACCTGACACTTTTCCCCCAGGCATTGCAGTAAGTGACTGACAGTTTTTAATGTCCTTCTGCACATGTTTCATGATGGACTTTGGGGGTTGAACAAAAGGGAAAGTAAAAATATGTGAGAACTTGTTAAATCTCAGTACCTCAAAAGCAAAGACTTGATTATAAAATTCAATCAAATATACTTTTGCTTGAACTGAGAAAAAAGTTCTAAGGCAGGTATTGTCAATGCAAAACTGTCCAGTGGGCATCTCCCTGCTCCATTTGCACTCCTGTCTGTGTTTAGGAGCTCGAGTTCTTCTGTATCTCTTCTCATCCTTCCCCAACTCATGTTTCTAAAAGCAAATGTGAGTTTGATTCTATAGAACTTTGGTGCCTACAGGTGTTGAGAAAAAAGGTGAGTAAAAGTATCTCTGTATAAGTTTTGAGGTGGCTTCCTAAAATTCTGCCAGAAAAACTAAAAACCAATGCTCAGACAATCTTGTTGCTGCATGAGAACAGTTGACATTTTCAACAGGTATAGAGAGGACAAACTGTTGGATGAGAGCATTTTTACATTCAGTTAAACTTTGTGAATAATTTTTGATGTTGCTATAGGTATGTACAAAAAGAAGAATACTGTAAATAAAAAGAACTTTACCAGAACATCTAGATTTTTCTCAGCTTCCTGAAGAAATGAGTTTTCTGTGTCAACTTCTCTACAGCCTGAGATTCACAGTGGGACAGACTTTCCTGGTCACCCAGAGCTTTCCCAACTTAATGAGGTAGCAGCAGCTTGTGAATTCCAGGATTGCGTACAGAACCAAAGCAAAGTTTGTCTGGACATCATATGACTCACCAGGATTTCTGCTGTTCTTGGGCCATTTCTCTGCTGAAAAGCCATTCTGATGGATGTTGATAAGTATGTCCTCTCTTCATACATGGGTCTAGTGATGGGAGTCCTTTCAGAGGTTACACATTGCCACAGAGTGAAGTTGAGCAGGGCATTTGGGACACCAGCTGTCAGACAGTGGTACCCTTGGCTCTCCCCACCACTTTCATTCCATGTTTGGACTGTCTTTCTCACACAGAAAATAAAATAAAACATCTTGTGGCTGTTCTTCCAGTCACAGATTTGCATTGTGGCAGTGAAATAAGCGAAGTAACCTGTGTAAAGCAGCTTGTGCCAGGATATTCTAAAGGCAAGCATCTCATACTTTTTAAAATTTATTTTTACAGACTTTACCCATTGCTGTGGATGCTGTGCCTCCACAAAACTGCTGAAGCAGTGACACAGCAGGCAGACGAATAATTGAGGTGCCTGAGATTAGGTTTTTGCAGAGTAGAAAATGGCTTTAAAAGGGCTTTCTTTGGTAATCCTGAAATATAAGCACAAGAGCTGTCAGTTTGCAAGTGGTGGTCAAAATCGTCAGGGCTTTTCTGCAGGCTGATTGCCACAAAAAGAGACATTCTGGGGGCCTTGATGAACCAAAACCTGAATCCTCAGCCAGGAGGACAGTGAGCAGCTGCAGGACCAGGGCAGCAGGCATCGTGTGCTGTGTGACAAGAAGCAGCTCCAAGGTGTGCCCCTGCAGCCCAGTGTGCCCAGGTGTGGGAAGGGATTGATAAGAGCAGCAGCCCTGCCTGAAGGGCATCGCCAGGGGTACTGGCCACTGGCACTGCTCTCACTGCAGAGAGGAAAAGAAAACCACAAACCTCCACAAACTGAGTTTGTTTGGAGGGGGGCACCCTTGCTCAGTGCTGTGAGGGCATGCCTGGATCCCATGCCTTGCTTTGAGCCCCCAGTTTCGGAGAGAGGTGGGAAGACTGGAGTGGAGGGTGAGTGTTGGTCTGGGGGTGCCAGGCAGGTGAGGCAGGCACAGGAGGCAGAAAGGCTCCACTGCAGCTCTGCTCCAGGAGTCCCAGGGGAGTTGGAGCTGAACTTGCGCTGTAGCCGGCACTGGCCGGGGGAGGGAGCGGGCTGGGCTGGGCTGGGCTGACCTGACACTGCCGTGGCGATGCCAGCGCTGCCATGGCAGCCTTGGAGTCCTGCCAGCTGCTGCACAAGGCTCTGGAAGGGAGCTGCAGTTAAGGCCACGCAGCAGCACCTCGGCTCTTGGGGGAGGTGTGAGCAAAGGTGAGTCCAGGTTTGGGGCACTGCAGCACTGCTGTGGGTGCTGCATCCAGGCTGGAGCAGCAGAGGCAGGTGAAAAGCTCTCTCTGTGGTGCAGGTTGGCCAGCACTTGGATCCAGGTGATTAGAAGCCATCTGTAGCGCTTTGTGCTTGGGACAGCTGCTCAGAGGACCCTGTTCTGCAGAAGGATGGCTGCAAAGAAAAAGGAGGTGGTGCTGCAGGTCAGTAGTGGCCAGGACTTTAGCAGACCATGTAAAGGCTCAGTAAGTTGCAAAGGATGTTATTCAGTCTCAGGATATCAAATTCTGCTGGCAAAGCCCCACTGTGAGGTCCTTGTGGGGAAGAGGCGTTCTGGAGGCAGGTGGGACACGTGGGAGGACCTGGCAGGTCACATGTGTCCCCAGTCAGGGCTGTGGGGTGCAGAGGGAGCTGCTGCAGGGCTGCAGGTTGTCTTTGGGGCTGTTGGGGCCTAGCACAGGTTTGGCTGCTGTCAGAGTCCAAATACCTCTGTTTTGTGAGGTAATAGCTCAGAGGACGTTTAGGAGTTTGTGTGGGGTTGGCACATGTCCTGCATGGCAAGAGTTACTGGACATTTCTGAGCAGGTCATGAATTGAGGAAGATTGCTGTAAAGGTAGGAAAGCTAGAAGGTACAAGAAAGATTCAAAGGCTGAACAATCTATTCCACAGTGATGTGTAGAGGAATTTTTCTTGTTTACACTGCACAGGTGACCTAGTGATGCTTTATAACTACTGTATGGGGAGAAGAGGGGTTCTAAGAGCAGTTCACAATACAAAAACATTGGTAACCAAAAATGGGTTCTGCAGGTCTGCTTCAAATTTTGAGAGCAGTTCAGTCTTCACAAGAGAAAAATAATGAAAGATATTATGGGCTCTATGACCTTGTTTCTTCACTGTTTAAACGGGAAATATGAACATGTGTAACAAGGAAAGAGGGGCACTTTATGAAGGTAGGAATATTTTCTGTTGCTGCTTGTCCAGCTGTGTTCCTGTGGGATGGGGAACTTGACATCAACTAGACCGTGCCCCTTTGGCAGTGAAGGGAAATCTGGGTCTACATATGCACATCTGGGATTTTTTACATCTGCAGGTGAAAGCTGAACTTGTGTAGGACATGAGGGGATATCCTGGAAAGGATCTGGTTTTGTTAAAGCCAAGTCCAAGCAGCCTCAGGACATCCAAATTAGCAAAGCCTTGGAGAGTACCAGCAGTACTTAACTCCAGCATTTGAACTTATGGCCAAATTCATTATCACAAAATACTGTCATAAATCATTTAGACTCGTTAGCATTCTGTGAAACACTCTGAGGGTGGTCCCAGCACTAGGAATAATTAAATGTTGTAGTTCTGCAGGTGTTCTCTGAGAAAACTAAGCTTGGGGTTATGTGCTGAACAGGCAAATAAACAGAGGTGTCCAGGGAACAGCTCCCTGTTCCCTGAGTGAGACAAGGCCCTGGAGAAACTGCCCAGTGTGACCCCCAGTGACACAGCTCTGAACACCTGTGAGAGAGAGGGCATTTCATTTGCACTGGAGTTTCCACCCTTGGAATTCGTGGCTGTGAGATTTTAGCAGCCCTTTAATGCCCATTTGTGTTAATTAGTGTGAAATAGCTGGCCTTGATGCAACTTACTGTCTTTCCACTGCAGTCTCAATGTAGCTGGGGTTGATGATGCCCACTGAGGAAGGAATCAGGAATCTTCATTGTTCAGGATGAACAAAACCAAGTCTTGCATTTCTCCAGAAGCCTTTTTTATTTTAATTTGCTGTGTTTTTCTCAGTACATCCTGAAGGACAAGTCCTGTAAGATGGGGAAAATGTGAAGGATTATATCCTTTCTAATAACAGTATTGGGAGTATGGGATAATAGAGGGGGTGGTGCTGTGTGTGGAATGGTCTAGGGCATCCTTGACAGGGTCAGTCCCTGAGCAAGCTGATCTAATGCTGAGTTTTGTGCAGGAGATTAGATGAAGGACTCCACAGGCCCCTCTCAGCCTAGAACTTTGTGTTCTCTGCTCACTGTGCTTTAGAAGTCTTTAGGTAACAGCTGGGAATTCAGGTAAGGACATGCTGGGTTCAGACCACCCTCTAATGCCCACACATCATGGAAATTGTGTATTTACTAGTTTAGTTTATCAAGGCTGAAACATGTCAAATAGTAGAGTTTGTGTGCAGGCAAGGTGAGAAACTGCTGCTGGAGAATCAGGTGGTTCATAAACCCTGTGAGGACTGGGCCTGAATAAGGTGTGGTTCATCTGGAACCCTGGGCAGGCAGATGGAGACCCTGACAAGGGGCTGTGGGTCTGGGATCCCAGTCTGGGGCCCCCAGCCAAGCCCCAGAACAACCCTCTGCAAACTGAGTCTGGCATCCCCAGGCAATCACTGTTCCAGCAGTGCCACTAAACAGGAGAGGACTTGCCCTTGGCTGGATGCTGCTGCTCTTTCCCTCTGCCTTTCCTTGGATCTTGTGAGACGTCCTGATCAGCTGGTCAGAGGTGAGAGAACCACAGTCAGAGGAGTTTCCTGAGTGCTCAGGTAATGCCTCTACAGGCAGGTGTGTCCCTCTGGAGTGATTTGTCAATATGTTTCAGCAACAGGGTAGTACCTGATGAATTACTGTGGCTTTTACTGTATTTTTCAATTTTCCACACAGATTAACATTACTAGCCAGGAGCTTTGGGAAGAAGTGCTGTGTCTCAAAGGACTCATTGGTAAGGTTTGGTCAGCACACTGAGTTGCTCTTGTTCTGTGTTGAAAGGATGCCAGGACTGTTAGGAATTACTAGTGTTAAGGATGTTTAGTCAGTCTCCCCATTCCCCTTACCCTGAATGGAAGAAAAAAATATTCTAACCAAGTTGAGACCAGCAAGGAGGTTGCATGATGGGACAGTCATCTTGCAATCCAAGCAGTGCTGGTCCAGTCTCCATTGCTTGGAGCAGGACTGTCCCCAGCACAAGAAACAGCCCTGGCTCCCAAGGTTTTCCTCTTGGGAAAACCTCATATGCTCTACCTCTGTGCAGCAGTTTGCCCTGGGACATCTGCTATCTCCAAGGTCACAGCCATGTCCATGTTTCTACTTAAGACTCCTCCACATCATTCTTAGCTTGCTATTTTGTAATGTAATTCTGTTCTCTGATCAGCATTTCAAACCTTGCAAGGGTTTCCAGTTCAGAGCTGAATGCAGCCCTTCTAGCACCGGTCTATTGGTCTGTGTCTCAACTGACCCATCTGTGCCTCGTTCTGACCCATTTTCCTGCTTGCAGTCGTTGATGTGTTTCAAGCCTGGTGTGGCCCATGCAAACCAGTAGTGAATCTGTTCCAAAAAATCGAGAATGAAGTTGGCAGTAATCTCCTGCACTTTGCTGTGGTAAGATCTCACTTGGCACTGCTTGAAATACCCAGTACTCTGAAATCAGCTGAGGTCTAAGGGCTGAAATCACTTTTCTTTCCAATATTTAGCCCAAATCATGGCAGTGCAGGAGTTGCAGCTGCTGGGAGTGAAGCTGCCACATACAGGGGCTTGGGTATATCTATAAGAATTCACATAATTAAGGATTTTCAGGCTTCAACTGCTCTATGCTTTCCAGATTTCTACTTAAGCAAGTTACATTAGACAGAGCCATTAACACATTGCCTCTGATGTACAGGAGAGGCTGAAGGAGCTGGATTTGGTCACCCTGGAGAGGAAAAGGGACAGATGTCCAGTGGGGGGAGGATGGAGAAGGCAGAGACTGATGTTTGTCAGGGAAACACAGCAGCAGGACATGAGATAATGGGATAAACTGCAGCAGGGAAAGGCCAGGTAAATTGGTATTCAGGTGGGAGTGTAGGACATTGGGACAAGTTCCCAGAGTGCTGTGCAGAGCTGATTATTGGAAAAGCTCAAAACTGACAGCCTTGAGCAACGTCCTGTGTCACTGAGAGCAGCCCTGCCCTGCTCTGGGCAGGTCTGGGACTGGAGCCCTTCACAAGTCCCTCCCTGCCTCAGCCATGTGGTGACTGTGTTCTGGTGCCTTTCCTGACTGGGGGCAGCTCTGGACTGAGGACAGAGCTGAGGGCAGTGAAGTTTCTCATGGCTCAGCCTCCTGTCTCTGCTGCCACTGCAGTTCCTCCTGGCACTTCTCAGCCTCATGGGCAGGAGATCTGAATTCACTTCTCAGGCTTTTTCTCTGGAACTCACCCAGGCAAGCTGCTGGGAATAGAGATCCCTGTCCCACAGGAGTGCAGCTCCAGCTCCTGCAGTGACATTTACCTGCTTCTCAGGCTCTGGATCTGAGCTGTGAGCTGGCTGTGCCTTTAGTTCTGACCAGTGTCATTTTGTCCCCTAGGTCTGGGACCCAGAGGTGTTTTCCTCTGTGTGGGGGATGACTACCAGCCAGCTGAGGGTGTCTGAGTCCAGGCACTTGTGTGTGCATCCCCCTGGAGCAGAAATGCTTTTCTAGAAACACCTATTTCGTTTTACATTCCTTTTAGGCTGAAGTTGATTCCATTGATGCTCTGGAAAAATACAGAGGACAATGTGAGCCTGTCTTTCTCTTTTATACAGTGAGTGAAAATGCTTTCCCAGTGGTTGCACAGCAATAAATATGACCTGCTGGTGGGAACAGTGGTCCTTTGGGGAGGATGTTTTATTTCTTTAATGTGTTATGGGACAATTTTATTTGCTCTGTATCTGCTGGTAATCAAATGCTGTGCAGATAAGAATATACAGCCAGTGTGCTGCCCTGTGGAGCCTTCAGGTTCAGCCTGCTGCTTCTGCAGGATCTCACTCCTCTCACAATCTGCATTGCTTCATCCTGAGATTGATGAGGAGGCACAAAGCAGGTTGTTCCAAGGTTTCCCTCTTGCTGTGAGGCAGAGCAGCTCTGAGGGGAGGAGGGCCTGGTACATAGAGTGTGGGTGATATGCTGCTGTGGGGAATTCCAGAGCCCAGAGAACACAACCTGAGCACTTGCTGACTGATTTGCTTTCCACACCTTCCAGGGAGGCGAATTAGTGGCTGTTGTAAGAGGAGCAGATGCACCATTGCTGCAGAAGACCATCCTGAAACAGCTGGCAGGGGAAAGGAAGGGTTTCCATGGAGCAGAGCCTGTGCTGGTAATGGGTCACTGAAGCTTCAAACACCTGTAGATGTGCATGCAAGAGGAGAGCATAGGGCCAGCATAGCTCTAAAGCTGAGCCACTTCCTTGCAAAAATCCTCTTCCCTGCCCAGCCAAACTCCTAAGGCACTACCACAGGCACTGCCTTTGTGGTCTAAAGTAATGACTTCTGAGGAGCAATACTCTCTTACTTACGTGTTATCTGCTGCTCCCAAGGCATCTCTAAAGCCTGCAGCTCTCTGCTGATGTTGCTGGCCTGTTCCTGGGAATGCTTTTCCCCCAGCTCTTGCTGTGCACTGGCTGAGAGCTCAGCAGGTGACCCTGGACTGGCAGATCCTCTCCTGTCCCTGCTGAGCTGACCTGGCCCGGGACAGCAGGAGGGCTGTTCCTGCTCAGGGGGAGCTGGGACGTGGGGCCCTGCCTGGCACTGGCTCACCTGGAGGGTAGGTGTGGGATGTTCCTGTCCCATCCATGTGCTCTTGCTGCTAGGTGCCAGACAGAGCCTTCTCCAGAGAGCAGGGAAACACAGCTCCCCTTCAGGAGGAACAACGGGGAGGACTAACAGGTAAGGCAAGGCACAGCTGTGGGATGTTCTCTGTGCCTTGAGTTGGAACCTTAAAAGCTGAAACCCCCAGCAGGGATCCAGCTGCTGCTGGGACACCAGAGGGGTCATTCTTCCACCTGGGCACATGGGGAGAGTCACCTTGAAACACAAACAAGAGCCCAGCATAGTTTGGATGTCTGGCATTGTGAAACCGGGGGTATTTGTCTTTCCAATGTGTTTTATCTTACATTTGTGCCCCCCCCCCCCCCTTTCCTTCTGGCTGCCAAGGGCTCTTGGAGACTGCACATGGCTTTCTGTTTCCAAGTGGTTTTTAAAAGAAAACACAAATGCTTGGGCTCCAAACCTGCCTACACCATCTCCTGCCTGGTCTAAAATTGGCCACGAATTCCCAAAGGTTTTGCATCTTCTCCTAAAAGGGACATTTTTTTCTTGGCTTTGCTGGGACAATGCTGCATCCTGGCCCTGTGCACGCCAAGTCTTAGGCTCCAGAATATTGGGAATCGAAGCAAATCCCTCCTGGCTTTAGCTGAAGCCCCATGGGATGAAGGGGCGTGAGGGATGTTGGTCTCTGCCTCTCCTTTCTGCGCCTATTGTTAATTTTGTTCATTTTCTTCCCTCGGAGGCTGACGCACCCATCGGGTCCGGGATGACAACCGCAGTCGTGGAGCAGATGTGAGCTTTTTCAATAAATACAAGATTTTCCTGCGGCAGCAGCGCCGGTTCCGTGTCCTTGGTGTCCCTCGATGTCCCCCGGTCCCCGCCGGCGGTGCGCGGCCCCTTTAAGGCTACCGCGGGGGCGGCCCCGCTGCGCTGCGGCTGCGTGGGGAGGAGGCTCGGGGCGCGGGTTCGAGTCCCGGCAGAGCCGGCCCGGCCATGGCCGCGGCCCTAGAGCCAGCGGAGGCCGAGCCGTGCCCGGAGCCGTCCGCGCACCGGCTGAGCGTGGCGGAGCTCGACCGTGAGCTGGACTCTCGCAGCGAGCTGGTGCGTCCCGAACCGCTGCGGAGGCGGCACGGCCGGGCCGCGGGGGCCGTGCCTGCCCGGGCGCTTCCCGCAGGGCCGAGGGTCCGCCGAGGGAGGGTCGGAGGGGCCCTGGGACACCGCGAGGGACGGTCGGAGCCCGCACACAGGCCCCCGTGAGGGAGGGAGGGTCGGCGGCTCCCTCCGCGCTCCTGTGAGGGAGGGTCGGCGGGGCCGTCCCAGGCTGATCTGTGCCAGTTCCTGCATGGTGGCACGGGGCATTGTCACTGTCATTTACAGAAATTTCGCTTGCTTCAGCGTATATAGGAAAACACCCCGACAACCGCCAAAGTTCTGTATGGCGGGTGCCTTATGTAGCAGGTACAGAGTCAGTCATTTAATTTCACTCTTGCTGCAAAACCCTTTATAGTGCAATAGCGTATTTATTCTCAAAACATCTGAAGCATTCTATGACTGTTTCTGGAAATAAGTCTCACACAGCCTCCAAGAAGGAAATATTATCCCCACTCAGCCAGGTGAAACTGTGTGTGAGCCTGCCCTCGGAGCTCTTGCCTGCCTTTCTGGTAGAGGCGTGTGTGCATAGCTGCTTTTTATGTGGCTTTAATTAAGGTCTGGAAGGCGGAGTAGGCAACCTAAATTCAGGCTGTGGTTTCTGATGTACAGATTGACGACAAAGAATTTGACATTCCTCAAGTTGATACCCCTCCAACGCTGGAGAGCATCCTAAATGAGGTGAGTGAACCATCTGACAGGGGAGTCAGGCGGGGCAGCACATGCTTGTTTTCCTGTACTCTTACTGCCTTTTTCCTGGAAAATAAAACTGTAGAGCTCCGTGGTTCTCTGATGATAGCTAGCAGGTGCATGTTTAGTGGAGCAATTGCTCTATAGTGTGTGATATGGAATTTTGGTGGAGTTTTTAAAAAAATTTAAATATCCACAGCTGCAGCATAAGAAGTTTTCATCAAGTCCAAGCACATTTCATCTGTAGATCTGAAGACTCACCTGAAGTCTAGATAGCATATTAAAGGTCAGGGTCACCAAACAGCTCTTTTTAATTAAAATTAATTGTAGAGTATTCAGAGTAGTTCGGAAGTTGTGAGAGAAGATAAGAGCTAGATTATTCCCAGCTTTGTTTGTGTTGTTCCTTTCACATATAAGGTGTCCCAAACAGAAACAGGCTAGAAACAAGAGGAGTAGTAGAGGTAGCTATGTCTTGTTTCTGCTGGTGCCTTAAGTAGTGGAAGTTTAGTAAATTTGGGTCATCTTAAACTGTAAGGATAGGCAGTGACATCCATGTCAGAGGAGTAGCTTCCAGGTCTTAAACTTGAGAGGTAATAATGAAGAAAATACAGTTCAGTGCAGACAAAGTCTTATTGGAAGTATCTCATTAAATATAGCATGGGAGTGACTGGCAAAACATTTTCTGAAAAGGATTTTAGCAGAGAAGAATCTGTCTGAGCCAAAAAGACCAACAGCTGCAGTTCAGAAAGAGCTGCTTAATGAGCACAGGGCTGCCAGGTGTAAGTGAAATGAGGGGCAGCTGCTCTGCTCCCTGCTTGTTTGGCATCAGCTGGGGAGTTGTGTTTGCTCCCTCTGGCTTTGTGCTGAGAGACCAACAGGGGCTGCACTGGTTTTAGAACACATCAGGGAGAATGGCCTTTTGAAAAACTATAATAAAAAATTCCAGGCTAAGACTGAAAGGAGAGAGAGATTGCAAACAGAAGAGCTGAGAAACCAGCAAAATCAACTCTCGTGGCAGCTGGAGGGACTTCTGGGCTCTTAGTACCACTTGGTGAAGTGCTGGAGTAGATGATGATAATTCTAGGCCTTCTCTTGGCAATTTGGAGACTTGGAAACAGCTCTGTTAAAGGTCAGTTAAAGTTTTAATGGAGTATGTAATATTTGGGGAAGAAAGGTTAGCTGACTTGATCTCCAGCCCACTTCTGTCATTTTTGTGAATTCTGGAAACCTTCCACAGGATCAGCCCAGTAAAGTAAAAATAGTTCTGGCTTTTAAATCTGGGGCTTTCTTGTGCACTCCTCTCCATCTCCCTGCTGAACTGATGCTGCTTTGCTAGTGTTT